TTATCTTAAAAACTGGGCATTTTTTCGAGAAAGCGCCTTCTTGCGAAAAAATAGCCGCGCGACAGCCTCAATCAATGGCAAAATTTCAAAAAAATCGCTGAATAAATTGTGCTTAGAAAAAGCGAAAAACTGTCTACAACAGCGCAATTTTGCGAATATCTGCAAAACTGGTCATTTTTTCAAAAAAACTGACTTGAAAAAAAATAGTTGGTCGACAGCCTCAGTCAATAGCAAAATGTTAAAGAAATCCCTGAATAAATTGTGCTTCAGAAACGCGAAAAACTGTCTACAACAGCGCAAATTCGGGAATATCTGGAAAACTGGGCTTTTTTCCAAAAAACCGACTCTTGCGAAAAATTAGCCGCGCGACAGCCTCAATCAATGGCAAAATGTGAACGAAATCCCTGAATTAATTGTGCTCAAAAAAGCGAAAAACTCTCTACAACAGCGCAATTTCGGGGATATCTTGAAAATTGGGCATTTTTTCGGAAAAAAAAATTCTTGCGAAAAAATAGCCGCGCTACAGCCTCAACCGCTGGCAAAATTTGAAATAAATCCCTGAATTATTTGTGTTTAAAACACGCGAAAAACTGCCCGCAACAGCGCAATTTTGCGAATATCTTGAAAATTGGCAATTTTTTCGAGAAAACGCCCTCTAGCGAAAAAATAGCCGCACGACAGCCTCAATCACTGACAAAATTCGAACAAAATCCTTAAATAATTTGGGCAAGAAAAAAGCGAAAAACTGTCTACAACAGCTCAACTTTGCGAATATCTGGAAAACTGGGCATTTTTTCAAAAAAACTGACTTGCAAAAAACTAGTCGGTCGACAGCCTCAATCAATAGCAAAATTTGAAAGAAATCCCTGAATAAATTGTGCTTCACAAACGTCTACAACAGCGCGAATTCGGGAACATCTTGAAGATTGGCCATTTTTTCCAAAAAACCGACTCTTGCGAAAAAATTGCCGCGCAACAGCCTCAATTGCTGGCAAAATTTCAAATAAATCCCTGAATAATTTATGCATTAAAAAAGCAAAAAACTGCCTGCAACAGCGCAATTTTGGAATTATCTTAAAAACTGGAAATTTTTTCGAGAAAGCGCCTTCTTGCGAAAAAATAGTCGCGTAACAGCTTCAATTGCTGGCAAAATTTGAAATAAATCCCTGAATAATTTGTGCATGAAAAAAGCGAAAAACTGCCTACAACAGCGCAATTTTGCGAATATCTGGAAAACTGGGCTTTTTCCAAAAAACCGACTTTTGCGAAAAAATAGCCGCGCGACAGCCTCAATCAATGGCAAAATTTGAAAGAATTCTCTGAATAAATTGTACTTAAAAAATCGAAAAACTGTCTATAACAGCGCAATGTCGAGAAAATCTTCAAAATTGGGCATTTTTCGAAAAAAAATCATCTTGCGAAAAAACAGCCACGCGCAGCCTCAAACGCTGGCAAAATTTGAAAAAATTCCCTGAAAAATTTGTGCCTAAACCAAGCGAAAAACTGCCTACAACAACGCAATTTCGGGGATATCTTGAAAATTGGGCATTTTTTTGAAAAAAAGGACTCTTGCGAAAAAATAGCCGCTCGACAGCCTCAAACAATGGCAAAATTTTAAAGAAATCCCTGAATAATTTGTGCATAAAAAAAGCGAAAAACTGTCTACAACAGCGCAATTTCGGCAAAATCTGAAAAAACTGGACATTGTTTCAAAAAAACTGACACTTGTAAAAAAATAGCCGCGCGACAACCTCAATCGCTGGCAAAATTTGCAAAAAATTCTTAAATAATTTGTGCCTTAAAAAGCGAAAAACTTCCTACAACAGCGCAATTTTGCGAATATCTGGAAAACTGGGCATTTTTTCAAAAAACTGACTCTAGCAAAAAAATAGTCGCTCGACATGCTCAATCAATGGCGAAATTTGAAAGAAATCCCTGAATAAATTGTGCTTAAAAAAAGCGAAAAACTGTCTACAACAGCGCATTTTCGGCAATATCTGGAAAACTGGACATTGTTTCAAAAAAACTGACTTTTGTAAAAAAATTGCCGCGCGACAGCCTCAATCGATGGTAAAATTTGAGCAAAATCGTTAACTAACTTGGGCAAGAAAAAAGCGAAAAACTGCCTACAACATCGGAATTTTGGAATTATCTTGAAAACTGGCATTTTTTAGAGAAAGCCCCCTCTTGCGAAAAAATAGTCGCTCGACAGCCTCAATCAATGGCAAAATGTGAACGAAATCCCTGAATTAAATGTGCTTAAAAAAAGCGAAAAACGGTCTACAACAGCGCAATTTCGGGATATCTTGAAAATTGGGCATTTCTTGAAAAAAATAGACTCTTGCGAAAAAATAGGTGCTCGACAGTCTCAATCAATGGCAAAATTTGAAACAAATCCCTGGATAAATTGTGCTTAAAAAAAGTGAAAAACTGTCTACAACAGCGCAATTTCGGGAATATTTTGAAAACTGGACATTGTATAAAAAAAACTGACTCCTGCGAAAAAATGGCCGCTCGACAGCCTCAATTGCTGGCAAAGTTTGAAAGAAATCCCTGAATAATTTGTGCATGCAAAAAGCGAAAAACTGCCTACAACAGCGCAATTTTGCGAATATCTGGAAAACTGGGCATTTTTTCAAAAAATCCACTCTTGTAAAAAAAGCCGCGCGACATTCTCAATGGCTGGCAAAATTTGAAAAAATCCTTAAATAATTTGCGCCTTAAAAAGCGAAAAACCGCCTACAACAGCGCAATTTGGGAATTATCTTGAAAATTGGGCATTTTTGCGAGAAAACGCCCTCTTCACTCACAACGTTTCATAACAATAAAACCAAACTTTATGGATAAAAAAAGCGAAAAAGTCCCCAAAAACCTACTCGAAAAATGCCCAAAAACGCTGCAGACGCAAGTAAAAAACTACTCACTAACAAAAAAAAAAAAAATACTCACTCGTTTCCATAACAGACGATCTTGGTGGCGTCGTTGGGGAACTGCATGAAAAGGATGCGTTCCAATGGGCAGT